CGGGGGTGGGGCTCGCCACTCGCAGATACCCCTTCCAGGCTGGGGTTTTAGCGATAGGGACATTGGGTTCAATGTCTGCCCAGCGTGTGGTTCAGACCCTCTGCTGAGAGGCGGGGCCTGGGACGGGCCTTTCTGAACAGGTGCAGGTGCGTCTGAGGATGGGTCATGTCTCTGAGAGCCTGGGCCCAGCCAGCCAGATGACCTGGCCGGCGGTCAGCATGAACAAGGCCACTAGGGGGCAGGTGGGGGGTGCAGGCCAGGGAAACCGGGCGCAGGGTGGGAGAGTGGAAGGGAGTCCCGAGCAGAGTGGCCGGGGGCTCGGGGCCTGTGTGGGGTGTTGGGGTGGGCTCCCTGGGGGATGAGCGTGGCAGGCAGGATTCTGCGGTGAGATGCCTTTTATAAGCTGTTGGCCTCCCTGACCCCAGGAGCCAGCCTCAGTCTTCTGACTGTGGACCCCTCAGCCGCTCCACTGAGCTGGGCCAACGGCTTCGGGACAAAATGGTTGCGATATGGGTCCCTCCGATCCTTCCTGGCTCCTTTTGGGCATCCGTGGTTCTGGGCTGCATGGTGTGTGTGGTGCCAGGAATTGGCTGGGGCTGTCCTGGGGGAGACACCTGGGTGGGCTGTGTTCTGGATGTGGGCTCGAATCAGGGGGAGCAGCAGCTGTGGGTGGGGAGGGGTGATGCTGGGGAAGTGTCATCTATCCCACACCCAGTCTGCACGGGGACAGAAGGCCAGGGCGTTGGGAGTCTGTGGGAGCCATGCTGGGCACATCATGTGCATTACGCTGGACCCTCCCCGGCAGGGGTCACTGGCGGTGTAGGAAGCACAGCTCTGAGCCGCTGCAGGGTGTCAGGATCACCATGTCTTGTCTTGCGTTTCATCTGCACCTGGTGCCCCCGGGGACATAGATACCTGGGAACACTCCCGGGTGGGCTCCTCACCGGGATTCGGCCTTGGTGACGCTCAGAACCTAGTCTAAGAGTCTTGCCTCCTTCATTCGCTCAGTCCCCAGGCGGGGACGGTGCTGTGCCCCCCCTCCCCAGTGGTGGAGCCCGCACCTCGCTCAGACCACAGCTCCGCCAGCCGCCAGCCCACAGAGGCCCTGGCAGTTGCCTCCTCCCCCAGCACGGGAGGGGCTCGGGGGGCTTCAGAGGAGGAAACCTTCAGGGTGGGGGCAGGGGACCCCAGAGGGCTGCGTGCAGGAGTGGGTGGGGCGGTCAGGCCTCGGGCTCTGGGTGCCTGTGGGGAGCCCGTCCCTGGAGAAGAACCCACAACAGGACGGGAACAGATGTGCATTTTAAAAGCTGTCTGGCAGTGTGGGGCAGCATTGGGCCTCTTTTGCATTTTGGGGGGCAAGAAGCCCTCCCCCCACCGCCTGGGCTGCTCTCAGGAGCCACCAACTTTGTCCGCAGGCTTCTCTAACGGAAGCTGGCAGGAGGGTGGTGCTTTCCAGCCCGAGTCCTGGGGAACCCTGGCCCCTCCGCGAGGCCCTCAACGCGGGGTCCCGAGAGACTCTGCGTGGGCACGACGCCCCCTCCTGGCGGCTCCCGGAGCAGGCGTGAGCCTCTCAGCCTGGGGCAGTGGGGACTGCTTGTGTGTCCCCGCCGCCCTTTGTCCGCACGCCCTGGGCGGCTTCCCGCTCTGAGCCAGGAGCGGTCCGCGGGGTGCGGGGGCCTCCGGGCGGAATGTGGCCGCCGGGGCCCAGGTCCCATCTAAGCTCCGCACCCCCAGGCCTCGCCTCGCGCCACGCTGGGCAGCGGGGGGGCTGCTGCAGTGGGGGGCAGACTGTCACCACGCTGGTCGTGCTGAGGCTTTTTATCTAGTCCGTATGTGCAGGTTCAGCGACCTGTCCTCTGCAGGAGACCCCAGGGCACTCATCACCTTTGTTCCCCCATCCCAGAGACAGGCACCCCTCTCATTCCCCAGCGCAGAAGAGGCCGTGCCCCAACCTGGGGGTCCCCAGTGCCCCTAGGGGAGCCTGGCCCTGTCACCCTGACGCTCACTTTCGTTTTTAAAAATTCTCACCCATTAGGCCAGGGCACTTTCTTGTTTGCACAAAAGTTAGGAAACAAAGAACATTCATTTTTATCCTGGAACCTCATACGCTGTCTGCAGGTTCTCTGACTTGATCTTTAGGGCTAATCATGTATTCACAGGTGGCCTTTGCCACAGTAGAATCAACAAGCCCCCAGGCTTCTTCTAGTCTGGACTTGGTTCCCAGCTGCCCACCCTCCACTTCCCCCCAGCGCAGAACCCAGGACGCTCAGTTCCCCGCCCCTCCCCGCCCCACCCCCTTTAACCCCGCCTCATCCCCCCCCTCGCGTCCTCCTAGGTGGACTCTGAGCTCCTGGCCAAGGGGGCACGAGGGCGCCCACTTCTCTCTCCCCACCCTGAGTCTGGGGGAGCGATGCGTGACCTGGTCCTTGGACATTACCCTCCGCCTCCTAACCCCGCGGATCCGCCTGAAGGAGCGTGCGCCCGGGGCCTGGGGCTCAGTGAGCGAGCGGCTCCGCGACCCTCTGCCCGACCCGCGATGCCCCACGTGCTCGGAAATCGGAGGGAGGGGGAATTCGGCCGCGGAAGCCGGTGCCCTGCTTAGATGGAGCTTAGATGGTGCCTCTGGGTCCCGGAGGGACGCGTGCGGGGGCGGGGCGGGAGGGGTCGGGGGGGGGCTGTGCTCCCGCGAGTGGGACTGTGTGCACCTACAAGCGTGTGCGCGTGTGAGCGCCCGCGGGGAGAACCCGGGGCGACCCCCGCCGTAACATTTGTCTCACCGGTGTGGACGCCCCGCTGGGCCTTTGCGCATCCAGGTGCTCAGACGTCCGTCTGGGCCGCACCCGGCGCGGGGCTGCGGATCCCCTGTCCGGAGGTGACCGGCCAGGGTGCAGCAGGCTGGGGGTCCTGCCTGTCGCGTGTCTGGGGGTCGCTCCAGGGAAAGGGCACCGGTTTTGGGGACAGACTGCCGCTGATGTCCCCGCAGAGCAGTAGTTCGGGAGGCTGGGCTTTGGGGGCTCCTTTCTGGTTCAAGCCGGCTGCTGTTGGCCAGGTGTGTGCTTTCCCTGAGTGAGCAGTGGGCTCCCGGCAGCGTTGGCGGGTGGAATTCAGGGCCCTGAATTTTTCCTAACCCTGATGCAGACCCAGCTACCATGAGGGATGCAGAGGTGATGCGGGTTGCCACCCTGGCAGCATGGGGACAGTCACCAGCCAAGCCACCAGCATCCTGCACCCCATTACAGATGTGCAACCCGCTCCTGTCTGCATGAGAACCCGCTCCCCCCCTTTCTTAGTGCCTTCATGGAGAAGCCTGCATCTCAATGCATCATTTGCTTTAAAAGTATTTTGATAACTGTGTTTTCACACAATTATCTCCCCTTGAAATCTGGAGTGTTGTATTTGACACATTTCAATACACGTTTCTGACAAGGGGCCTGTGGGTTTTAGCCACAGGCCAGAGAGGCTAAGGCACACAGGTGGGGGCTTCCCCAGGGCACTGGTGTTCGGGGGCAGGAGAAGCTGGCCAGAAGGTGTAGAGGAGCTCATGGTGGGCAGACTCCCGGGGGTTTTCTGGCCCCCATAACAGGAGAATTGATTTCTCCCCTGCTTTCTTCCATACCAGGGTCCCACGAGGGAGGAGGGGCAGGGGCCCCAGGGAGGCAGGGGCCCGAAGAAGGCTTATTCTAAGGGGGGGGGACGTTCACTGTCGACCACCTCCCTTTGGGGAATGGCTTGCAGGATTTCACGGCCTCCTGGGAGGGAGGGCGTATGCTGGTAACAGGGTAGGGTCTAGAGCCGGAGGAAGCACTGGCGAGAATGGAGGCAGGGGGTTGTAGGTTAGGAAGTGACTCTGTCTAGGAGTGGGGTCTGGGTGCAGGAAGTTCCAGGAAACGTGGGGGCCCCATCCAGACTGGCCTCGAGGGAAAACCCTTGGAGGGCAGCAGGCCTGGGCCTCAGACGCCAGTGTGGGCCCTCAAAGTCGCTTACCCTCTGGCGTCTTCCTCTTGACCTCTGCCACTCTGGGCCAGGCCTGGGGCCGGGGACAGGGCGCGTCCCTGTCCTGTGCCGGCAGAGAAAGGCAGCATCAGGACATTGTAATAAAACCCTGACGTTCAAGGGGAGATGGAGAGATAGACTCAGGAGGCTGGTGGTCAACAGAAATGCTCCGCCCCAGGTGTGGCCCCGGAAGGCCCTGGCCCAGCCTCCTCCTAGCCCAGAAGCGAACCTGGGCCCTGCCTCCTGCTGCTAGACCAACCAGGGAGACGGAGGCCTGGGCAACGGGGCCCTCCTGCCAACGGGCCTGCTGTCCAGGTGGCTGTGGGCCACCTGAGTCCCGAACACTCAGCGGGGCTACCCCAGAGTAGCCTGGAGGGACGGATGGGGACCACCAGGGTGGGCCCCAGCTCAGTGCCGCTGGAAATGCTCCCAAGATGGGCTTGTCAGCAAGATGGCCAGGGTTATGTTAGCCTGGAGGATCGGAAATCATGAAACAAAGCCAGGCTGCCAGAGAGAACCAGTAGAGGCAAGGATGCAAGATTGATTGATTGATTGATTTTAGGGGGGAGGGGCAGAGGGAGGGAGAGAACCCAAGCAGACTCCCTGCTGAGTGCAGAGCCTAACATGGGGCTTGATCTCATGACCCTGAAACCATGATCTGAGCTGAAATCAAGAGTCAGATGCTTAACTGACTGAGCCACCCAGGCGCCTGGGCAAGTTTATTCACTTAGCATCACACGTATGTTTGGGTTGGAGGCAAACAGCTTCCAGGAGGGGCAGAGACAGGGCAGGAGGCCATGGCTGTCAATAGCAGGGGAGGGCTGTCTCAGGTCATCGGGGCATGGTGTGGAGGCTGCAGCCAGGCTCAGCCCTGGTTATTAGGGTCCGAAGAGGGTTCATGCTGACCTGTGCACTGGAGCTTGTGCTGGCTTAAATCCTGAAGGAGGCAGGGCGAGAGCTTGGGGTCCCCCATAGCGCCCAGCTGGCCCCGGTGGGGACGTGCCCCGTCAGCAGCAGGACTTCTGGGCCGAGGTGGGCACACAGCAGGCCTGGCGGGGGCCCACGGGCCGGCAGAGCAGGGACACGCAGGAGGCCCGGCGGCAGCAGCTGGGCTGGCAGGAGGAGGCGGGCACGCAGCAGGCGGGCCTGCACACGGGCCGGCAGAGCAGGGACACGCAGGAGGAGGGTCTGCAGCAGGACGAGGAGCAGGGGCTGGGCCGGCAGCAGGAGGGGGCTGAGTAGGGGGAGGCCTCGCAGCAGACAGGGGTGCAGCCGATGGGCTTGCAGCAGACAGGGGTGAAGCAGAGGGGCTTGCAGCAGACAGGGGTGTGGCAGATGGACGCACCGCAGGCCTCCTGGCAGGGGGAGGAGCTGCAGCAGGAGGGCCGGCAGGAGCTGGTGCAGGCTGATTGGCAGGGGCTGGACCCGCAGCTCACGGGGGTGCAGATGAGGGTCAGGCAGGAGGCCGGGGTGCAGCCGCTGGACTGGCAACAGCTGGGGGTGCAGCAGGGTGGGGCACAAAAAGGGGGCTCGCAGCAGCTCTCTGGGCAGTCGTCCACCTGCCAGGAGGAGTCGGGGCAGGAGTCCCAGGAGCCGGGCAGGCAGACGCGGCTGCCGTAGCTCAGATCGTTGGAGCAGACGGACAGGGTGGACGCGGCCATGGCGGGGGCGGTGGGGCTGGAGGAGGGTGCGCGTGTGAGTGTGAGTGTGTGAGTGTGTGTGAGTATGTGAGGCGCTCGGGGTGTTTGGGGCTTATATACACCTCAGGGCTGTGTGCTATCCATCACGAGGCCTTGAAAAGCTTGTTTCCTTGTTGTGGGAGCAGGTCCCTGAGGATTCATGTCACGGGCTCACAGCTGGTAGCTCAGCTCATTCATGACCCAGGAGGGTCAGTGGCTCTTGATACCAAGCCCACCCCTGCTCCCAGCATCTCTTGGGGCTCCGTACTATTCATCCCCATGCTCCTCAACAGTCAGTGGAATCATACGCATATTTTGTTCTTCTTTTTCATATCATCTTTATTTGGGGATATAAATTCTCTCCTGAGTCCATGAACCAATGAATGGCTGGGAGCTGTATTTATTTTTAGCATATTAGCAAACACTTATGTGTAATCGATCTCCTATGCCAGCAAGTATTCTGAGCAGCTTTGTACATGTCAACTCAGTGACCCTTACAACAACCTTGTGAAGCGGGAGCTGGGGTTCCCACTTTACCAATGGGGAAACTGAGGCACAAGGAAGCACTTGCACCAAAGCCCACACAAGTGAGCAGAAGAGCCTGGATCAGAACCCGCGGCCCGTGTTCTCAACCACAGACTCTGGTGCCCCGGAAAGCAGAGAGCAATCTGGCTTCTGGGAGAGGGGTCATTTAGACCTGCTGGTGCAGGAGTCTGGGCAGGTGCACGGTGGGTGCCCAGCAGCTGGAACCACCCGACAAGGAGCTGCTTCTAAGAAGGCACCAGCACTTGCACTTATTACGGCAGGAATGTGTGCAAACACGGTGGGAGGTGAGCTTGCGGGAGGCAGGCCGTTGGTAAGAGCGAGACTTCACCCAGCTGAGAGTGAGGGAGGGCTGCTTGGCGCCGGAGAGTCTGACGGGGTGAGGGTCCAGGCCCTCAGGCAGTGTTGGCGGCTGGGCAGGTGCTCAGGGCAGGGGTACCGCCTGCAGGGGTCCTGGGTGTGGAGCAGGGGGTGCTCCTGAGCTGCATCAGTTGGCACAGTGGGGACCAGGCACTTGGGGAAGGAGGGGTCTCAGGTGCCGGGGCTCTGGCCGCCCTGAGGGAGCCTGAGCCTAGTGGGGGCATGGCCAGGGGAGGCCCCTGCAGGTGGCCTGGCCAGGACTGCCAGCTTTGCGCCACGATTGCCGCCTGGCTGCCCACCCTCACGGCGGGAGATCTGAGAAGTGTGCGGGAGACAGCCCAGGTACCACGTTCTGTGCTGGGGAGGCCGGTCTACGGAGGCACCTGGGGGCCAGGGAGGGAGCCTGCTGTCACCAGGGGAGCAGGGATGCCCTAGGAGGGGCCAGGGAAGGGGAGTGCCCAGAAGCCTCAAGAATGGAAGGAGAGCCGGGCGGCTCCCCACAGTTTGGAGTCCCCTCCTGGAGGTGGTGGGGGGCATCTCTGGGGAGCGTGGGGGCTCCCAGGAGCCAGGCTGGAGCCCGAAGCTCGAGCATGGTGAGGTGTAGCTGATACCGGCTGAGGGCCCGGGTGGGGCTGGTCCACAGACTCCTCCTTCCTGAGCTGAGGCAGGGGCAGGCGCTGGGTTCTCTAGAACAGCCCCCGCTCCCACTGGGCATGGGCAGGACACACGCAGCCACGGTCAGTGGGCAATGCAGCCAGACGCTAGTGACCAGCGGGAAGCCAGATTTAACTGAGGGTCACGCAGTCGGACTAAGACTTGGCATGTTGCTGAGCAGGTAGGTGTTCACAGAGAGATGGGGAGTGAATGTGAAGAGGGTCTTTGCTGGGGAGCCCATCTGGGTTTGCCGCTGGCACTCTAGGGTGAGGCCCCTGGCTTCCAAAGAGACGAGGCGGCCCGTCTTCCCTGACTTTCTGGGGAGGCTGCGCCACCTCGGGCTGGCTGTTGTCAGGTGTGGGCTGGAGCTCACGGAGATCGGTTAGGCGGTCCGAGCTTCCCAGGCGAGCGCCTGGGGGGCTGATGCATCTCCATCTCTCAGTGCTCGCCTCGGCCCTCAGCTGCCCACTCCCCCCCAACACCCACCCGAATGCACGCTTGGCCCCTGGGCGGCCGGCGACGTTCACACTCCTGGCCGCCCAACAGGCGAGTGCTCTAAGGGCCACAGTGAGGAGGGGCAGTGCCGAGCCAGAAAGGGCACCTTAAGTGCATTCCCGTTGTTGTGCAACTGTCCTCACCGTCCGTCTCCAGGACTTTACCATCATCCTGATCTGAAACTCCGTCCCCATTAAGCACCACCTCCCTGTTCCACAGTCGTCCCAGCCCCCGGCACCCCATCCTACTCCCTGTGTCTGAATCTGGCCCCTCTAGTCCCTCCTACATGGGTGACCGGACAGTACCTGTCCCTCTGGGACCAGCTTATTTCACTTGACGTCACGTCCGCAAGGTTCACCCAGGTAGAAGGTGCCTGCTCTTCTTTCAGTTCGTGGTGAAGAACACCCCACTGAGTGGATGGACCACATTTTGTTTATCTGTCCACCTGTCCTTGGACCCCTGGGTTGCTTTCACCTTTTGGCTGTTGTGAATAATGCTGCAAAGATCATCTAAATCCCCTTTACCCCTTTTTTAGGTATATTCTTAGGAGTGGAATTTCTGAGGGCATATGGTGAGTGCCCAAGTGTTCCCACAGAGGTGCTCCCCTCTGTATTCCCATGGGCAATGTTTGAGGGTTCCAGTCTCGCCACATGCTCACCAACACTGGTTCTTTTTCTTCCTTTTTAAATTACAGCCATCCTAGTGGGTGTGAAATAGTATTGTGGTTGTGGTTTGCATTTCCCTGATGACTAATAACGTGGAGCATCTTTTCGTGTGTGTGTTGACCATCTGTACAATTTTGTTGGGGAAATGTCTGTTCACGTCCTTTGCCCGTTATTAAATCAGGTTGCTTGTCTTTTTGATGCTGAGTTGTATGAGTTCTTTATATATTCTGGATATTAAACTCTTATCAGATACACGATTTGCAAATATTTTCTCCCATTCTGTAGATTGTCTTGTCACTTTCTTGATGGTGGCTTTTGAGTCACTGAAGTTTTGAATTTTGGTGAAGTCCAACTTATGTTTTTCTTTTGATCTTCATGCTTTTGGCGTAGTAGCTAAGAATCCATTGTCAAATCCAAGGTCACAAAGTATTTCCCCTGTGTTTTCTTCTAAGACATTTTGGTTTTAGCTCTTATGCTTGGGATGTTTATCCTTTTTTTTTTTTTCAAGATTTTATTTATTTATTTGACACAGAGAGAGAGATAGTGAGAGAGAGAGAGCACAAGCAGGGGGAGCAGCAGGCAGGCAGAGGGACAGGGAGAAGCAGACTCCCCGCCGAGCAAGGAGCCTGTTATGGGGCTCGAACCCAGGACCCTGGGATCATGACCTGAGCCGAAGGTAGCTGCCCAACCGACTGAGCCACCAGGTGCCCTGATGTTTATCCATTTTAAGTTAATTTTTGTATGTTGGGTGAGGTGGGGGGTCCAAAGTAAGGTTATTTTGCATGTAGAAATCCAGTTTTTCCAGCAGCATTTGTTGAAAAGATGATTTCTTCCCCCACTGAATAGTCTTGAAACCCTTGTCAAAAATCAATTGGCCATAAATATACGGGTGTGTCTCTGGACTCTCAACTTTATTCCTTCATTCTATATGTCTGTCCTTGGACGCTGGTTCAATCACTGTACTTTTGTAGTAAATTTTGAAATCTGCAATTGTGAATCCTCCAACTTTCTTCCTTTTTTCTAAGATTGTTCTCTTCTAGGCCCCTATCAATTCGGTATGATTTTGAGGATCAGCTTTTTCATTTCTAGAGAAAAAGGCTTTGGGATTTCGATAAGGATTCCATTGAATCTGCAGGTCACTATGGGTGGTACTGTCACCTTAACATTGTCTTCCCTTCCATGAACATGGGATGTCCTTCCACCTACACTTGTTTCTTCTGCTCTTGTGGCAGTGTTTTATAGTTATCCCTGTACAAGTCTTTCACCCCTTGGTTAAATTTATTGCTAGGTATTTTATTCTTTTGGATGTGATTTTTTCTGCTTTAAAAAAATGTTGAAAAGCAGATGACTGCACAAAAAAATACATCTCACTTAGTTATAGAAAAACACCAATGCTTATTTAATATATCTATTACCAATAACATGCTGTCATGTTTACTGCCTGCTTACGTGCTGTTTACGTACTTTTCTACTCCTCTGTTTATTTATAGCATGCTTATGTTTGGAAGCACAAGCTGGATTTCTGTCACCAGGACTTTGTGAGCACTTTTCCTGAAGTTTGTTGCATGCGGCGTTGTTAATGGCAAGTCTGATGCCAGTCTGACATTTATTTTTCCGTAGATGACTTCTGTTTGTTTTGGTCTCTGGGGATGCTTTTGGGAACCACTTATTATCCCTAATGTTCTGCAATTTCAACAGGATATGTCTGGGTTTTCCCCATTCATTTTTCTTGGCATTGCTTAGTCTTTTCAACCTGGAGGCTGTGTCTTCCACTGTGGGGCATGTTCCTCCCTGGGGTTGCATTTCCTCGTCCCCCTGTGGCCTTGCTGTGCTCCCTCTGGGAATACCACACAGCAGAGGCTGCACCTCCGGGTGGGTCACTTATGCTGGTTTCTTTTCCCTCATACTTTCTACCTCTTCGACATTTTGTTCTAAGTCAGAGGGATTTCTCAACCTCACCTTCAAGCCCCTCTGTTTAATTTTAAATATCAACAACACATTTGATACCTATGATTTTTTTAGGGTAAGTTTTATAATCGCTCCTTTTCACAGCCTCTTGCCCTTGCTTTATGGCTCTAACATCTTGATGTCTGAATATATTTAAGATTTTTACATTTAATTTAACTTTTAATTTCAAAGGTGATTTCTGCTTTGTAAACTATATGCTTCCTCTGGGGTGTATTTTTATGTTGGTAGTCTCAGGCTTTCTTTCTCAGGCCACTGGCTTTGCTCATGTGCTGGGGTGAGGGTGGGGGGTGGTCCTTGGTAGTCTGGGCTCCTCTTCCACCATGTGACAGTCTGTGTTGAGTTAGAGAAAGCTCACCCATGTGGGGAGGCTGACATGGCACTCTGGGATTGAGGTGGGGGTCTGCCAGGTGGTGGGCTTCACTTGGGGATAAGAAAGTTGGGAGCCCAGAGTCCAGAATGAGAGTTATGTACCTGGGGGTGCCAACAGCTTCCCAGGAGCCTCAGCCCTTCCTGGGTGAGGTGTTCAACTGTCCTAGAGATACACATTGGTGATGTTCTGGGGAGAGGTGGGACTGCTGGACACTCGGCCTTGGGGAGTGCCTGGCCAGGTGGCTCTGGCTCCTCCCCTCCATTGAGGACACACCCCTCCTCCACCGGGCCTGCTCATGGGGAGCAGGTGCTGTCCTGCTCCAGGGCCCCTGCCTCGGGGTTGGCACACTCGCCTCTGTTTCCCATTGCATTTGTGGAGTTCCGCACCCATCATAAGCTGACTTCTCCCCCATAGTGGGTCCTGGGAGGGCTGACGTGGGAGCGGTGGGCTCAGTCCACCATCTTGAACGGCAGCGTCCACTCTCCTGGAGTGCTGGCTTTCCCACAACCACACCCGTACTCTGGGTGTTTGGCCGACCCACAGTCCACCCTTACTCTATTGGAATGCTGAATACCCAATTCACTTTGAAGATTAGGTTGCCACAGCATGGAGGCTATTGGTTTAATTTCCTATCCAAAGCAAATATCCCATGTGTGGCTTGTATTTTTTTTTAAAGGAAAATTTTATTTTAAACTACTTAGCTCAACAATTATTTTCAACTATTTTTTTCATTTTATTATGAAAAATTTCAAACACACAGAAAAGTTGGAAGAATTAAGCAGGGTGTATCCATGTACCCACTCCTTGAGCCCATAGCTAACACTGAGCCTCATTTACATTCTCAGATACTTGCCATCAAACCACCCCTCTCTCCATACATCTTAGTTTTTTGGAGCATTTCAAAGTGAGTTACAAACAACAGTACACCTCACTCAAACATTTAGGAAGAATACCATTAACAGGAATTCAATTTTTGTGCTTTTGTGTGTGAAGTCATATGAATCCTAGGTGTTTCATTTGATGAATTTTCACAAATGCATTCACCTGAGTAGCCCAAACCGGATCAGGACCCACACCTTGACCGTGCACCCAACCTACCAGGGCCTCGGACATGACCTGTGCCCACCCCTCTGGCCGTGGACCTAACCACTCTCCCCAGATGTCCTCTTCTGCCTAGTCAGTTTCACCCAAATCCTCCAGAAGCAGCCATTGTTCTGATCTTTATTTATTTATTTTTTCCCTTCTCTCTCTCTCTTTTTAAAATTTTATTGTTATGTTAGTCACCATACAATAATACATGATTAGTTTTTGATGTGGTGATCCACAATCCATTGTTTGCATATAACACCCAGTGCTCCATGCAGAACGTGCCCTCCTTAATACCCATCACCGGGCTAACCCATCCCCCTCCCCCTCCCCTCTAAAACCCTCAGTTTGTTTCTCAGAGTCCATAGTCTCTCATGGTTGTTCTGATCTTTAAAAAGAGTAAATTAGTTCAGCTTGTCTTAGAGCCTCACTTAAATGGAATCATGCAACAGGTGCTCTTCTGCCCGACTCCGTCCACCAACACCATGTTTTTGAGATTCCTTCATATTGTTGCAAATGCAGTTCGGTCCTCTTAATTGCTGATTTGTATTCCATTGTATGACTGTCATGGTTTGTTTATCCATCCCTGTTGATGGACATGTGGGTTGATCCAGTTCTGCCTCTTATTAAGAGAGTGGAATGAATGTACCTTCTCTTCAAGGCTTCAGCACCCAGAAGCTGGAACAGCCTCCAGGAGCCCATTATTTTGTAGGGTAGCTCTGACTTTTAGGGAACTCTTTCTTCTTTGAGCAGAAATCTGCATCCCTGTCACCCTGGCTCCTTGGTGCAACCTTTGGGGCAACACACAATGAACATCTCCCCTTGGGAAGCCCCCAAGGCACATGACTGCAAGCTGCTGTGGGTCACTTGGGCTGTGTCTCTTCCTCCCATTGTTTGCCCCTCATTGGCACAGTTCCTAGGATCCCAAGAACCATGCATGACGTCCTCATTTGAAACAGTGGGAAGGAATGCCCCATTCAGATGCAAGAGCCTGGATTACCACTTTTCCCAGAGGCGTTCCCCAACGTGCTGAGGGGCATGACCGTCCCAAGAGAACCACCCTCGGACAGGACTTCTCAGCCATTGGCTGGTCCAAGGGAGCAGATGACACGGAGAAACAGCTTCAGGGCAAAGTCACAGAAAGACACAGCACTGAGGAGCAGAGAGATTTATTTTTAATCATCACTAAGCTTTCATGGCGAAGAAAACCACCATCACTGATTCAGTAATGAGACATGGTGGGAGAGGTCAATAGAGAATTGATATTCCAGGTGATTTGTCAGGAGCAGTTAGGGGTGCCACAGGGGGCAGGCCTGCAGACCAGGGTGGGGCAGGAGGGCTGCCAGCCCCCAGAGGACTGGCAGGAGGGAGCCACATACACAATGGGCTTGTAGCTCACGGGCAGGCACACAGCAGGCTTGCAGCTCACGGGCAGGCAGCAGGACGTTTGGCAGGAGCTGGGGGTGCAGCAGGTCACCTGGCAGGACCTGGGAGTGCAGCAGCCTGAGCTGCAGGAGGAGGCCTGGCCGCAGGCCACTGGGCAGCACAGGGACGGGCAGCTACGGGCTGACTGGCAGGAGATGGATGAGCTGCACACAGGCTGACACAGGAGAGCCACGCAGGGGGCACTGCAGGAGCCCCCACAGCCTGGGGGAGGGCAGCAGGTGGGGATGCAGTCCAGGGAACCAGGGCAGGATGTCTGGCAAGAGCTGGGGGTGCAGCTGGCCTGCTGGCAGCCTGTAGAGCAGCTGGTGAAGTACATGGCAGTGGAGTGGAGTCAGGGTGGAGGCTGGAGTGGAGTCAGGGTGGAGGACAGGGCTGGTCTGGAGGTTCCTTCCCCAGGCAGCCTTTATACCCAGGCTGTGGCATCCTGGCAACAAGCCACACAGGTGCCTTCCTCCTGGTTGCCTGATTGTTTGCCTCCTCCTCCTCCTCCTCCTCTGTGCGTCTCTTCCTGGAGTTTCTGGGGGAAGTGACTCGGTTCAGGAAACTGCAACAGCTGGAGGCTCAGTACGACCCAGCAGGCCTGTGATTTCTGGACTCAGAGCCCAGGTTGGATGGTGAAGGACCATCAGCGGGGGATAGGAGACCCCACATCAGGATGTTCAAGGTCCTCCCCCAGCTTACATACCCTGTCCTCTGTCCACATAAGCACCATCCTGCTTGCCAGACCAGGGGTCCCCCGTTTTGATTTGGAAACTCCGTGATCCAGAAGGTCTTCCCAATGGACCAGAGCCAAGCAGCTGGGCTCCTCACTGGGGACAGCCGTGGCCATGTCATCCACCATGTCATCCAGTCCCAGCTTTGTGCCCGGCACCGTGCTAAGCCTTTTACCTGGATCAGCTGATCACTGACTAGTCACCAATCCTTGCCGCCATCCAAAGGGTAGGTGATACCCCTCTTACATGGAGGTGCAGTTAGATTCCATGATGTTTGTGTGCTCGCACCACTGGGGTGAAGAAGCAGAAATTGAAGCTGCTCAGTTTCACTCTGGAGTCTGTGGTCTTTACCATAGTAGACAGAAGGGCTCCCTACATGGCCCGGTAACAAGTCACACTAGTTAAGTTATTCCAAGACTGTGGTCTTGGGGGCTCAGGCTGTGGTCAGAGCTGAGACAATGAACAGCCTGGAGTCTGCCTGAGACCACACGGTGGCGTGACCTTGAGACCTGTGGACGAGCCATGAGTCTGTGAGGTCAGCGGTCTACACACTCGCTCCTCCGTTGGCTCTGACCACAGGTTAAAACCACAGTTAGGCCCAAGAGGATTCAGGGCAAAAGCACGTGACCACATGTCCAGCTGTGACCTAGTAATGGAGTTGCACATTTCCATCGGTCACTTGTGGTCCAAGCCAACCATGAGAAGAACAAAAACGAGCCTTTCACTCCTGCTCCTTCCTCCGGCCCATAGGGCTCCTCCCAGCACCCCCCACCCAGTCTTCCTTGTCGTGCACTCTGCTGCTCGTGGTTCTCTTCGCTTTCGTTTTCCTGGAAAGGTTTCGTCTCACCCTCTTTCACAGGACTTTCTCTCTCTCTCTCTCTTTTTTTTTTTTGCTATACAGGGAATCCTTGATTGACAGTGTCTGTCTTCAGCATCTCAACACTGTTCTCATCTGTCCTCTGGTCTCTGCTTCTGATGAGAAGTCAGCTGTTACCTTTTTTTCTCGTCTGTGAAGTGTTTTTCCTCTCACTGCTTTGAAGGCTTTGCTCTGTATTTTCAGTTTTCATCACTATAACTATTATGTGCCCAGAGATGGTTTTCTTTGTATTTATCTAGCTTGGGTTTTTCTCTAAGACCCTGGGATCTGTAAGTTGGTGTCATTTTTTGTTTTAATCAAGTTTGGGAGAATTGTCCATTGTGTCTTCAACACATTTTTATGCTTTGATTTCATTCTCTCCTCTGGAGGTTGAACTTAACCTGTGTGTTAGACTGTCTGACATGGGCTCACAGGCTCTTTTTCTTTTTCTTTTTTTTAAAGATTTATTTATTAGAGAGAGAGAGAGCAGGGGGCTGAGCAGAGAGAGAGAGAATCCCAGGCAGACTCCCCGCTGAGCACAGAGCCCGAGACAGGGCTCGATCTCATGACCCTGAGACCATGACCTGAGCTGAAATCAAGGGTCGGACGCCCAATGGACTGAGCCACCCAGGCACCCCTCTTTTTATTTTTCTTAACTCTTCCTTTTCTTTCAGGTTAGATAATTTCTCTCGATGTGTATTCACTTTCTCATACTCTTTATTCTTCTATTTTTCACTTCCCAGTGGACATTTCATTTCCACCATTGTGTTTTCAGTTCTAGAATTCCTTTTTTTTTTTTTTACCAGTTTCCATTTATCTGCCCAACATTCCCTCTCCATTCAGTCATGAAAATAATACTTTCCTTTAACTCTTTGAACATATCTTCCTTGGATTCTTGAAACGAATTTGTAAGAGCCGCTCTCCCGCCGTTGTTTGCCAGCCAACGTCTAGACCATCTCAAGTTTCATGACTACTGATGGACTTGTTTCTTTAACTGTGGATTATGTTTTCTATATCTTTTATGTCTAGTGATTTTTTATTGTATATTGAACTTAATTATGACACTAGATATAGGACGTCTGCATTCTCTTTTACTGGCTATTGATTTTTGTTCTGGTAGACGGTCAGTTATTAACTGACCATCTCAGACGTGTGCAGCCTGGTCTTACACTTTGTTGGGGCGGATCTGTTCCACCAGCTGCAGGTGTCTAGGTGTGTGGTTAGCTGTGTGCCTTCCAGAACAGAAGCAGACAGACTCTCCTGGAAAATCATGGAGGACACCCCCCACCCCAAAAAGAGGTCAGAGTCTTTATGCTGAGCTTGCCCTGTCCAGGTGGACCCCAGCAGGTGCTGTCTGCAGGTAGGCGGGCTCCAGGGTCTCTGTGTGCAAGGAGTGAGGAGTGGCATGGAGGAGGGGGTGAGGGAGCAAAGATGGACGACTCTCCTCACGCAGGAGACCCCGGAATGGGAAACAGTGTCTCCCTAACAAAGAGGCTCAGCCTGTGAGTGTCTGGGTCTGGATGTGTATGCCTCGGTGTGGGTGCCTGGACCTCGCTGAGCTGTGTCCATCTTTGGGGACCTGCTCTGGAAAATTCTTGTAAACCAGTCCTGAGTCTTATAATTCAGCAGCGTCTTGCAAGAGTGTTTTCAGAAATACCGTCTTCTGCATTAAATTCTAGAGCTGTTCTCACCATCAAGGGTGGGGTGGAGGGGAATGCAAGAGATGGCATGTTCTTTGTAAGAGCAGTGTGAACTCCGAAGTCTACCAGCCAGAGCCCCGGGGGTAGGGGCAGACAGTGGTCCTCCCTGCTGGCTTTCTGGTGGTTGAGGTCAGGCGAGAGCCCCAGAAGGAGTGGAAGACCCGCCACCAGACTCAGCCAGTCCTCCTCTGAGTCCCACGTGACTGTTGACATCTGTGGGCTGCATGAGTGTGGCTGGTGTCCTCTCCCATTTCCTGGGGACACCCCTGCTTCTGATGGGGCTGCACGCAGGAGGTCCATGCCTTTGTCCACTGTGCTTCTCTAATGAGGAGGCTTTCTCGAGACAAGGATCTGAGGTCGCTGCCCTCCAGGAGTTCTCCGTGACCCACGCCCTTCCGTCCACACTCATGCTGCGGGAGGGTGGTCCCAAGTGTCGGCTGTGCTTGACCTGCGGCCGGAAGCTCCTGGGACACTCAGACATGAGCCAGACACATCTGTTCTCCCGGCACCTGCCCTGGAGCCTTCCTGATGTGAGGGAGGCTGTCCAGGGACCATCGTCCCACGCAGAGGGAGACCAGGACACCCATGTTTTCAGATCTACACAGAAGTAGCTCTGGCGAAATCGTAAGGAGGCAGAATCCGGCTGGTGCCAGTGAGACACTTGGGCGGGTTTCCAAGTGTAACGCGTGCTTGAAGAGGGGGCAATTAGTCATGAAGGTAAGGGCCAAACAAATAAAACATCTGCAACAGAAAGCCAAGTTCCAGCCCAGAAGAAGCACAAACAAGGAAGACGGCAGCGTGTCCCATGCTGTCCGGACACCCGCAGCCCGGGTATAAAGGCCGCCCAGGGAAGGAGCCTCCAGACATCACCGCCCTCCTCCCTGACTCCACTCCAGCCCCACGCCACCATGAGCTTCACCAGCTGCTCCACGGGCTGCCAGGCGTCCTGCTGCATCCCCAGCTCCTGCCAGGCGTCCTGCTACGTGCCCGTGAGCTGCCAGCCCGCTGTGTCCATGCCCGTGAGCTGCCAGCCCGCCGTGTCCATGCCTGTGAGCTGCAAGCCCGCCGTGTATGTGGTCCCCTCCTGCCAGTCCTCTGTTTGCCTGCCCGTGAGCTACAAGCCCCTCGTGTTCATGGCCCCCTCCTGCCAGTCCTCCGGGGGCTGCCAGCCCTCCCACCCCACCCTGCTCTGCAGACCCATCTCTTGTAGCACCCCGTCCTGCTTCTGACCATGAGCCTCCCACCCAGCTGCTCCCAGGGCACAGGGGGCCACACCTGCTCCCCTCCTGGAACAAGTCTTCAGTGGCCTCCAGGTTCTGCACAGGGCAGATGAAGAACATGCCCAACGGACCCTCTGAAGCCTGTGGCAAGGATGTAGCAGGATGATCTGGATCCCTCTGTGTCCCCACTGGGAGGCCCTGGTTTCCGGGGTCCTCTGCCTCCAGCAGGGACCCAGCCCTGTGTGAGCCAAATAAACCGTGCTTTCTTGATGCAGCTCTGTGCGCCTGTCTTCTATGTTTTCTGCCCACCTAGTCCATGCTACGAAGGGGGAAGGCTCAGCCCTTCTCCCAGTGGGAGCCCCTGCGAAGGGAGGGGCGGCGCACGTGGCTGGGGGCCATGGCTCGCCCTCTTCTGGTCCTAGCTGCTCTTGCTTCCCCTTGGCTGTCGGTTCCTGCCTCGGCATCAGGACAGGCTTTCCCCTTCGCGTCAGAAGATGTCCTGTGTCCCGGGTCCTGGGTCCCAGAAAGTTGAGTCCAGCCGTTAGCTCTTTTATAGCTTAGATCTGCAGAACCCAATCAGTTCTGGCCCCCAGCTCGACTCACTTCTGTTGCCAGTCCACGTGTGGCCCATTTTTAATTGACTGATGATCAGTTATTGATTATTTTATTTTAATTTATTTTATTATTTTTAAAGATTTTATTTATTTATTTGAGAGAGAGAGAGAGAATGAGAGAGAGAGAGAGCATGAGGGGGGAGGGTCAGAGGCAGAAGCAGGCTCCCTGCCGAGCAGGGAGCCCGATGCGGGACTCGATCCAGGGACTCCAGGATCATGACCTGAGCCGAAGGCAGTCGCTTAACCAACTGAGCCACCCAGGCGCCCAGTTATTGATTATTTTAATAAACCTCCACAAACCTACTACCTAGAACACCATCAGTACTTTACCCCTGGCTTCTCGGGGTAAAGATTTGTGTGCTCTTTGTTTGCTGCCTTTTAAGAGAGAGAGCAGGGCCACCCCTCTGTGTCCCAGAAAATCAAGTTTCCTCATGCAGGGCTCTAAATGACGGTAGGAGGTCATCCTGCACGCACTGGCCAGAACTTTTTCCACCCCGTGGGCTCTTGCTAGGATTCCTCGCATGTCCTGTGTCGTGCATCCTCTTGACCCTTCCCTGCTGCTCTATTTGGGGGCTGTTTCAGGTTAAACCTGCTCCTATACTTGGGCAGGTGTGGGGGCCGCGGGGACTGGGGGTGGGAGGGCCTGGCCGTGGACTGTCCCTTCCCCTCCTTTGGCACCTGTGATCCTTCCATTGAGGCTCTGGGAACGGGCACCAGCTGGAATTCCCTGGCTGCGCGGAGATACAGGAAACTCGGCTTCTCCCTCACCTTGTCTCCGAAGACACCATAGCTCCATGCCTTGTTTCTGGGGGTTGGTTTTGGAATGAATTTTCTGGGTCAGAGAGGTGGGTGCATTTGAGACCCACCAACCTGGCACCTCATGGGCATGTAGCAGGAGGGGGCCGGGCTGCAGGCCACTGGGCAGCACGGGGACGGGTGCCATGGGCCATCCGGCAGGAGACACAGCGCTGCCATGCAGGGCGCGCATGCGGGGGGCACAGCAGAGGCTCCCCTGGCCTGGGGGAGGGCAGCAGCTAGGGGCACCGCAGGTGCAGGTGGTACACAGGGGCTCGAGGCTGGGCTGGGGACAGCGCGGGGACAGCAGTACAGAGCAGAACTGCTGTCTCCCTGGACGTTCCTACCACCCAGGAGTCTGGATCTGATGTGTGGGCTGCACTGCGTGGGCTGCGACACCTACCACAGGCTCTGCAACCCCTCCCGCTGCGGAAGAGGAGCCTGGTCCTCTGCCTCCAGTCAGTTCGGTGCTCGACCTCCCAAGCAGGTGTGGTGTGGACAGCACCACTGATTTGACTCAAACCTGCCCCAGGGTTGCCTGTCCCGGGCATCGGAGGACCGTGAACCAGGAGAAACCCAGGAGGGGCCCCTCAGCATCCCTCCCCAGAACCTCTCCCCTGGGTGCCTTCTGTCTGCCCCCATCTTCTGTCTCACCCACCTCCACCTGGTCCTGTGCCATAGCCAACATGGGCATGCACACGCGGGCATGCACATGTGCACACACAGGAGCATGCACACCCACGAGCACGCACACGGGCACACATGGGCACACACCCAGCCCTGTGCTGGCTTACCGGGCTCCCTTGTGAAACTGGCCAGTGGGAGTTCCCATGAAGCTCACAGTGTAGGTGGGACACAGGACGCCCGTGCGGGGAACCTTCAGCTATGTTGCCGTGTGAGAGGTGTGTGGCAAGACAAAGGCTGCTGGCAGAGTCCAGAGAAGGGAAAGGAGTTTTACTGGGTTAGAAAAGCCCTCCCCAGTGCCCTCTGCAGGAACCCCACTTGAGATTGGGATTGATCACCCCAGTGCATGTCTTCACCCGTGTTCTGAAAAAATGCAGTATATTCCTGCATGTTTTTAACACTTAAATGGCATCATAAACTGTGCATACTTTTGTAACATGCTTTTCTCCCCCTCGACATTATGTTGGAGCAATTCATCCCTGATGATACCTGTAGCCCTTGCCATTCCTGTTCATGGCTGTCTAGTATTCCACTGCACAAATATACTGCAATCTGTTTATTCTCCTTCATGGACATTAGGTTGCACTCGATTTTTAGCTACTGCCTCAAATGCTGCCATTTCTATTCTTCTAACTTTTCTGGTGCACGTGGCCAGTGTTGCTCTCTCCAGAAGTGCTCCTGTGTGTATGCGGTCTTCACCTACCCTGAATGTACAAACCACTGTGCAGAGTGGCTGTCCCCACCTCACACACCAGCTACCGTGGCACCAGCTATCCCATCTTTTTTGAAAAAAAATTTTATTTAAATTCAATTAATTAACATACAGTGTATTATTAGTTTCAGAGGTAGAGGTCAGTGATTCATCAGTTGCATACAACACCCAGTGCTCATTATATCACGTGCCCTCCTTCATGCCCGTCACCCAGTTACCCCATCCCCCCACCCCCCTCCCCTCCAGCAACCCTCAGTTTGTTTCCTATGATTAAGAGTCTCTCATGGTTTATCTCCTTCTCTGATTTCGTCTTGTTTTGTTTTTCCCTCCCTTCCCCTATGATCCTCTGTTTTGTTTCTTAAATTCCACATATGAGTGAAATCATAAGGATAATTGTCTTTCTCTGATTGACTTGTTTCACTTAGCATAATACCCTCTAGTTTCATCCATGTCATTGCAAATGGCAAGATTTCATCCTTTCTGATGACTGTGTAATATTCCATTGTGTATATGAACCACATCTTCTTTATCCATTTATCTGTTGATGGACATTTGGGCTCTTTCCATAGTTTGGCTATTGTGGACATTGCTGCTATAAACATTGGGGTGCCAGTGCCCCTTCGGATCCCTACATGTGTATCTTTGGGGTAAACACCCAGTAGTGCAATTGCTGGGTCTTAGGGTAGCTCTATTTTTAACTTTGTGAGGAACCTCCATACTGTTTTCCAGAGTGGCTGCATCAGCTTGAGTTCCCACCAACAGTGTAGGAGGGTTCCCCTTTCTCTGCATCTTTGTCAACATCTGTCTTTCCTGACTTGTTAATTTTAGCCATTCTGACTGGTGTGAGGAGGTATCTCATTGTGGTTTTGTATTTCCCTGATGTCAAGTGACATTGAACATTTTTTCATGTGTTGGCCATTTGTATGTCTTCTTTGCAGAAATGTCTGTTTGTGTCTTCCGCCCATTTCTTGATTGGATTATTTGTTCTTTGGGTGTTGAATTTGCTAAGTTCTTTATAGATTTTGGATACTAGCCCTTTATTTGATATGTCATTTGCAAATATCTTCTCCCATTCTGTTGGTTGTCTTTTGGTTTTGTTGATTGTTTCCTTTGCTGTGCAGAAGCTTTTTATCTTGATGAAGTCCCAATAGTTCATTTTTGCCCTTGCTTCCCTTGCTTTTGTCAACATTTCTAGGAAGAAGTTGCTGCGGCTGAGGTCGAAGAGGTTGCTGCCTGTGTGCTCCTCAAGGATTTTGATGGATTCCTATCTCACACTGAGGTCTTTCATCCATTTTGAGTCTATTTTTGTGTATGGTGCAAGAAAATGGTCCAGTTTCATTCTTCTGCATGTGGCTGTCCAAATTTCCCAGCACCATTTGTTGAAGAGACTGTCTTTTTAACATTGGACATTCTTTCCTGCTTTGTTGAAGATTAGTTGACCATAGAGTTGAGGGTCCATTTCTGGATTTTCTATTCTGTTCCATTGATCTATGGGTCTGTTTTTGTGCCAGTATACATACTGTTTTGATTACAGCTTTGTAATAGAGCTTGAAGTCCGGAATAGTGATGCCACCAACTTTGGTTTTCTTTTTCAACATTCCTTTGGCTATTTGGGGTCTTTTCTGGTTCTGTACAAATGTTAGGATTATTTGTTCCAGTTTTGTGAAAAAAGTTCATGGTATTTTGATAGGGGTTGCATTGAATGTGTAGACTGCCCTAGGTAGCATAGACATTTTAACAATATTTGTTCTTCCAATCCATGAGCATGGAACGTTTTTCCATTTCTTTGTGTCTTCCTCAATTTCTTTCATGAGTATTTTATAGTTTTCTGAGTACAGATTCTTTGCCTCTTTGGTTAGATTTATTCCTAGGTATCTTATGGTGTTGGGTGCAATTGTAAATGGAATCGACTCCTTAATTTCTCTTTCTTCTGTCTTGTTGTTGGTGTATAGGAATGCCACTGATTTCTGTGCATTGATTTTATATCTTGTCACTTTACTGAATTCCTGTATGAGTTCTAGCAATTTTGGGGTGGAGTCTTTTGGGTTTTCCACATAAAGTATCATGTCATCTGAGAAGAGTGAGAGTTTGACTTCTTCTTTGCTGAACTGGATGCCTTTGATTTCTTTTTGTTGTCTGAATGCTGTGGCTAGGACTTCTAATACTATGTTGAATAGCAGTGGTGATAGTGGACATCCCTGCCG